ACGCAAGCATGAGGAGAACATGCAAACTCCAMACAGAAAGACCCCAGGTCAGAACCGGGGATCAAACCCAGGACCTTCTTGCTGTGAGGCGTCAGTGCTAACCACTGAGCCAACGTGCTGCCATGACACCAATATACCCACTGTCCCACTAGGGTTAGTTCTGCAGAGAGTCAGCTGTACTGTTAGTGTTTCTTTAGTTTCTTTTGTTTTGCTCCAGACGACTTGTTGTTGGAAGCTAACGTGAGCGCTGAACGTCACCCAGATGTAAACATACGGCAAGCCAGAAGTGACACAAACGTTTGACTTTGATTTTCCTCTAAAATCACAGAGTTCTCTGAGTCAGCTTCAGGTGCTTGTAGTTAACCATAATATCTTCTAAATTTAACCAGGCGTTTCAATTCATTTACATTACACAACAATTATAGTGGAGAAACTTGTCAGTTTGGTTAAAAAAACTGTAAAAATAAATTGTTTTTTCTATGCAGAGAACTTCTTGTGCTATAATTTTTTTAAAATAAATGCATCAGTTGAAAACACTAAAATGACAGAAAAGCTGTTTAAATCCCCTTTATCCAGAAAGTCATCAGTCCTAAGAACACTAAASTGTAGCTTTAATAAGGTCATGTAGACAGTAGGCTATACTCCTATTTAAATTAAAATGTTGGTCTTGTAAGCAGAAAGTTATGGTTGTTGGATGTTGATTTTTGCTCTCTATTTCAAAGAAGAGGATGAGGAGTTTTGCTCAAACAGCTCCTGAAACTGTTAACCTGCTGACTGAGAACATTTGTATACAGTAAACTTCGTATACAGAACAATATAGACTACCTATTAAATTATATTTTAATTGAGGTTTTTTTTTTGCGGACAACCAGATTTTGTCAACAGGTTGTCCGCTGGACACCCTGAAGAAAATCCTTATGTCTACCACTGACAAGACACCATGGGGAAAAAATCCATCTCATGCCCTGTGAATCGATTTTCACATATTTAAATGAAATCAATCCAAGATCAGTGTTTCCCCCAGGAAATTGGTSTCGGCGGGGGGAGGCGGGGTACTTGTTTTATAAAAACATAAATTTACGTGACTCACCTGCTATTATGGTAATAAATTTACACATACATGAACATTTAATTGCCCAACTACATCCTAGTTAAGGACTCTTCATGATAATTATCAATAAAATTCTTATTGATAATAAGTGATCAGAACTGTGTGCAGCAGATGATCTGAGTCCAGAGTTGTCAGTTTGAAACCTTCTGGAGCTCTTCTGTGTGACTCTAGGTGTGACAGAGTGTGGATGGTTGATTGTCTCTTTATGTCTCTGATGGAGACTGGAGACCTGTCCAGGTGTCTCTGATGGAGACTGGAGACCTGTCCAGG